GGACAACAACAACCATTACCATCTATAATGTGTAAATGCGAAAAGCGGCTTCGAAGTTGTTGTTCTTTGTGCTCGTTTTTGTTTTGCTATATGGTCCTGGTCAAGGATAAATCGAGCATACTCGCAGTTGATTTGTAGGTTGGAGGCCCCATGTCCTTATAACTTCAATCCGGCAGATTATTACGTTCAGCTGTTGGCAATAGAACCGGGCCGAGAGGAGTCCTGTAAACAAGCCATTACCATGATTTGCGACAGATTCGACCAGTCCGAAAACGGCGTCAAAATCGCTCTCGAAGCAGCCACTGTGGTAGGAAACTTTAATCTTTACATATCGCAAATGTATTGTAGCTTCTACGATATCTATATACAGTATAATAATTGATAGCAGATTGTGAACATCAAAATCGTAATTTAACTTGAGGAAAATATAATTGTCATTTTAAAATGTCAATTTTAACTTTATTACAATGACTGTTAACAATTTAAAATGATTAATACTGAATTAAACATTGCTTCCTTTAAAATGGACTTCAGCGAATAGACAATTGGCACATTGAAATAAATACGTACTTTTAGCGTTGAAAATGCGAGCTTGTTTAAAAAATATGAGTATTTTTTATAATGTAATTTGTATAGATACAAATTGCTATTTTTTAGTATCAGTATGTATATGACCGATTAAGTAAATGAAAAACATAGGTACTTACACGAATAAAAAAAAAAAATTTTGCTTAGGGTTTATGCTTTGAATTGGTTTCTCTGACTACTTCACCATATCATAATGTAATTCTAAGGGGAAACTATTCGCTTTTAGTTTAAAGTATCATTTTAAAACTAGAACATTTATTTTAAAGTTGTACTTGGGTTGAAAAGAATGAGTGTTTGCTGCACATAGTGAAATTACAATATACTTTTTGTAATTAGGCACGGTATCTTCTATAAGGTGCCTATCGAATATTTATAGTCTCAAGATCCCAGACCCGCCAGACATTACTTATTTTCTGAGTAACAAAATGAGTGGGAAAGATTAGTGTTAATATGTACTTTGAACATATGCATACCTACTAACTATGACTGACGGCCAATTTGCAGATATCAGGTGCTAAAGGAACGTAAAAACTTTACTCGCTTTTCTTAAAGTTAAAGTGCCGATTTTTACATAATGTTTCACAAAATATTGTTTAAAAATTAATAATCAATACTGCCAGACACTGTACATCGGCGGTAATATCTGCCAGCCGCTTCAAACTTCGCAAGAAAAATCGTAATTTTATTTATATTCTGGGTTTTCATTTTTAAACATGATACTTAGAAAACTATTTCGTTACTTTTTGTAAGCAGTTAGACTAGTTGTAGGGGCCAAATATCTCCTAGACACATTTAAAATGTCACTGTATTATAAAGACGTCTAATTATCGCGCTTAAGCGTATATACACAACTAATTAATTTAATATCTTTTCATCACTAACTTAACAGGTTCTGATCTACCATTTTTTTTTAAATATAAGCTAATCAGCATAGCTTAATTTTTAAATTTGAGCATCTTCTGTCACGACTGCATGATTCCTCATTATTCATTGTCTGCCTATCATTTGATATTTTTTTTATTAAAACTGCCCATTCAAGCTAACTGAACGACGAAAGAATCGTAATTTGATTTCCCTTGAATCAAAATCTTTGCGACGATAAAGTTAACAAACAACAGAACCTTTGTCATCATTGAAATATTCACAATTGCGTGGACGGCTTTGGTTTTTGTTGAGTTTGTTATTTGATATTTTCCATTATAGTTTCTTTATTTTTATGAATCTACATCCATTTTTTGCAGATTAAATCATCGGCTTTTGATATTTCGTCTTATTTTGTCAATGGAGAAATGAAAAGGTCTGTTATTTATAAAGTTAACTGGTGGAAGCAATTCACTGCAGTTTTATGGAGATCATGGTTGGGTGTTACTAAGGAACCTCTCATTATAAAAGTCAGAATGCTGCAAAATTTGGTGAGTAAAACACATTCATTTCTGTAAACAAAATGTGATGTATGTGTGTAACCAACGATAGATATCTACACGAAAAAAGTCAAGTCCATACGTTCAACATTAGCTTTTTGAAATATACCTACAACTGATCTAAATATCATGTAGACTTTATTGTTCTTAAGTATACCATTTTATTGAGTTAAGGATTTCAGTCATGTTTCTAACAACTATTCAAACAATATTAGCCTCCTGGTTTATTTTTATAAGGAAAAACAGTAACAGATATAGGGTGTACTCTAAGGAGAAAATAAAAAACGACAAAAAATAAATAATAATGTACCTTTTGAAAAATGAAAAATTCCGGTGGAGGTGCTGGGAAGTACATCTTTTCAATGTCGGTTGATGTAGTGCGTAACTTTACGCTGAAAAACACTACTACAAACTTTGGGGTATTTCATTCCCACCAGCCAGTTATGCTGGTGGGCGAGCAGTCCCTCCAGATTAGTCCGGTATGTAGGGCGTGGAAATGGGTGGGTGGTGGCTCAGGTGAGAAAGATGAGATGGACGAAATGAAGACAGAAGACAATGAAAGATTATCTGTGGAAGTGATCCAAGGAAACTAATTTTCGCTGAAATTTTTCCTAGTAGGTAGCAAACTGGAGATTTCGACTTAAACGTTGTCCCAATGATTTTGTTAAAGTGCCAGACGGAATACCAATTTTGTGATTTATTCTTGAGTGTTAATATCTCAAATTAATTCCAATTAAAAAATCTGAGAATAAAAATTCAAAGCTGTTGTTGTTTTTTGGGTAATATCGATTAATCTAGGTCAGAGGTCGGCAAGTAATTTTAGGTGGGGTTCGTATACTTTTGAAAATTCTTATAGAGGTTCAGAAAACTAATTTTTTATTTTAATTTTAACACAAGATATGAAATACAGGAGGTAGGCATATTTCGGTTCAATGGGGAAAGTTACAATTACGGTCTTCAACAATTTTTTTGATGAAACAACCTTAGAATACACCTGTCCAAAAGATAAGTTTTATAAAGCTGCATTTGGCATTCGTTCAAGTTACAAACACAAAAATTGTTGTTAAATGAACATTGTTGCTGCTGCAGAGCGTGCGGTAGTTTTTTAATAAGGGGCAAATCTTCTAATTAGATTTTTCTCACATAACATTTTACAAAGTACTAAAGCAATCCATAAATTATAGAGCTTTTGGGAGGTGAAATTTCTCCATTGCTCCCCGTGGATTCGCCACTGCATGGTAATATTCCAGTCAATTTATCAACGTTGTTATTTTAGTGGATTATATTTATTTTACAATAATCGGTATACCTACTCAAAACATAGTTTGGTTTCTTGAGTTAATTAGATTTTCGAATGGGTTAATATAATACAGCCCTTGAAAAAAGGAATATAAAAATAACGCCACTCGAGATGGGTCTCATGATTCCTCAAAAAGGGTGAAAAGACATAAACAGCTGATAAATGTGCAAATAAGAACGAAATTGTCACATATACGACTATTATCATTTTTTCATAGTTTTAGCTTTTCTTCGTTTTCTTCTTTTACGTCGTTCTGACTCGTAGACGTGAGTTTGTCAGAGAACGATCGATTCGCAATTTACAGCCCTGTTTTCTTAAATTGTAAATTTGACATAGGTAAAATGCTTTCACACTTTTTATATTAGGAAATTTTTCATTCTTTACAAAAAAGATTTTTCCCACAGAATATTGATTTTTTACGCAAGAGATAGATTCTCTTAGGATGCCAACCATACAAGCTGACGAAACGTCGAATAAACGACCCCAATCTCGCACATCGAAATTATCTCTATTTAAATACATAGTTTATTAATAAATTTGTTTAGATGAATTTTTTAAATTCTACGAAAATGCTAACCCCCTTTTGCAAAAAAATTTGTACTTGATGGGCTACCATATGTAAGGGCAAAATGATGAAGATTTGAATCCAGTATCATAATAAAATTAAGTGACTGGCTTTTAAGGAGAACAAAAAGCCATGTATCTTCGGATTCGCTGTGCAAATCGAGCCGGAAACAATCGGTCTGTGATAACTGCTCAGCTACGGCAAGCAGCGTAGTTACAAATAGTTGCAAATTAACAGTGGAGAGAAGTGGTGCTCTGTATTGTGTTCAAAATTTTGTTTTTACGCGTCACTGAACTGCAAATTTGTCAGAGCAATGATGCTGTATCGCTTTGATCCAGCAGTATTCTTGAGCCTTCCATTTATTGGTGTAGTAAACGTTTCTACGAGGGCGGTTCAAGAAATACCCGTGTTACAAATGAAGACACCTCTTTTTTATAATTTTTTTTTTATTTTTCAACATAGTCCCCTTTTAGAAAGATACACTTC